GGGTAGAAAAAAATATCTCTGAGCCTTGGTATGATTCATAGCCAATGAGATCATTCTTACACAGAAACAAGGATAATGGAAGCTTTAAGCAAACCTGCCATACCTGACTAGTCTCTATTTTTTATTTTTAACTTTTTCTTCCTTTTCTTCTCCAGAGCTTTCCTCTTAATTCTCTTACCACATTTTTAAGGCTCATATTTTAGACTCCTTTCCTCTACTCAGATAGGATATCATTCCCCAGTGTTCTATCTTTTACACTCTTCTATTTGTTCTCCCTGGGTAATTTAATTTACTCCCATGACTAATATCTAAACTCATGATTTCCAAATATACATCATTTATTCCATTCTCTTTTCTAGGCCAGACCTCCCATTCATCTCCGCTCTTATGGCCTTAGGACAGTTTTTTCCTACCATGTCTAAAACCAAACTCAAAATCCTACTATCCTTAAGCTGCTATCACTTCTTATGCTTCCAAGCACAATTAGTAATATCTACATCTAGTCCATAAACTGAAATTAGAAACTTGGGATCATTCTTTCTCCGATGCTAGACTCTAAGCTGCACGATTGCAAGGACTTTGTTTTAGTAACCCTTGTATACCCAATGTGAAGCAAAGTACCCAGCACATTGCAGGTGCTTAATAAATATTTAATTAATAGATTAATAAATTCTGGACTCATTTTTTCCCCCTGCTTTTATTATCCATTTTCTTACCAAATTTTGTAGTTCTATTCCAGAAGCATTGCTGGAACTCATCCTCTTTTCTCCATTTCTAGTGTATCTGCTATGGACTTTCACTTCTTTGCCTCTTATGTCTTCTCATGGCAGTCTTTCCTCCATATTGCCACAAGGGTTATCTTCCCCAAACAAAAGTCTGACTATGCCATTCTCCCATGGTAAAACTCCTCTCATGTAGTCTTCAGCCCAAGAATCTAGTTTCTCACCATTTGCCTTTTCTCCATGATAAACCTTATGTTCTACCCAGTGGAGTGCATCCGTTCTTAAACACAATGCTCATTCTCCAATTTCCCATTGATTTGTTCATTCTTTTCTTTGCTTGGAATCCCCTTCCACTCTCCTTGCCTCATGGCAGGGCAACTCAATATCATCTCTTTGGTGAAGTTTCCTCTGCTCCATGGATTCTTCCTGTCTTGTCTGCCCATTGCAGTTTGCTCAGCATTCTCTTGAAGAATTTTCATATTATTTTTATTTCATGCCCATTTTGCCTGCTGTGTTGTGAGTTCCTTCAAAGAGGAATCATGTCAAATTTATTTTTTCTGTCCCAACTGTTCAGCAAGATTGTAGCATACAGTGACCATTCAGTACATGTTTCAGAGTAAGTTCTTGTCTGGAATATTGAGAAGAGAAACTCTAAGTCTGAATTTAATAGGAAATGGAAGCCTGTTTTCACCAAAATTCTGGAAGACTTTAATATCCCATAAAGAAACTAGTGATCAAAGCATCATTACTATTAAAACCCAGGTCTGAAATGGAAAAGGGCAAAGTGCTAAGAGAAGAGACAGACAGAGAGGAGTTAAGAGTTTGTATTTACACCTGTGAGAATTATTTGGACAATTTTTGCTTTTCTGACCTTGAAACATAAGCTTCCAAGAAGTCCACCTACACATGGTTCCCTGATGAGGTCAGCATGAGGTATACTCTAGTGCTTGCAGTTGTTTATCTAAGCAGGAGCAAGTAACAACTGGTACAGTTTCAATCCTACAGTTAAATGAAAAATGATTTGGCACAGACTTCAAAATGTGTTAACATAATTGAGCACTGAGGCAGGGCTAGGGGCAAACTTTATGCTACCTTTCTCTGGAAATTATTTATTTTTTCCCTATTTACAATGTATCACAATCCTCTGAATAGGTAGTAATAGGTGCATATACACATACAGAATGTGGCATTATATTATATATATAATATGGTATATATTATAAATATATATATTATATATACATATGTATGTCAGTGTATTCCATCAGCAAAATAAACTGATTAAAGATGGTTTCATATCCAATAGAATTAAAATTAATTTTGAAAAATTGAAAGGAAAGTGTTCTGCTTGAAATAGTACTATGTCATTTGGAAGTCTTTGAATGAGCCTATATATACGGAGTTGTATTTTCGCAATTTTAACTCACATTATCCATTTTATTTAGCCCTTCATGATACTCTATATCTAACTTAGCAAGTGCTTTGCATTTATCTCAATATCACTAGCTTGTATGCTTTCTTCAGAAGTACCTAGTAAAGATCTCTTTTATTTGAACCGAAGTTGGCCTGAGAAAGGAACATTGTACTCAGTAGATACATAGTAATTTTTTTCTATTTGAATGAATGTATAACATAAATGAGGGATGGCGTCTTTCATTGGGGATCTAGAGCCAAGTAGTCACACGGGAGCCTTGTGGCCCACTGCTAAGCCATAGTGCTCCTGCTATATTGGGGTTGGAGTGGGGAGAAGTCTCTTAGATCCCATTGGGACCATCACTCTCAGCATTCATAGATAGAAGTCTCTGCCAAAGACAACCTCTCCCCACTATTGGCTTCAATTTGAGACAGAAATTCTCATAATTGGAGAAGTAAAATCTGAGAAGGGAGCAAAAAAAGCGCCTTGATTTAACACTATAATAGGTAGGAATTAGTAAAAAGGATCAGATCTTTCCATAAAGACTTTTTTTTTTGGATGAGTAACATCATCAGGGAAAGTTACAGTGAGAAAGCATAAGCCTGGAAAGGATAGGGAAAGAGGAATTTCCAGCTTGAGGAGGGAGAGTGCAATGAAGGAAGACAAATCAAAATAAACTTTCATCTATTTAAACCATTTTCTTATGACCGATCAAAAATGATAAAAATAATAGTGATAACAATAATAATTGAGTGTTATTATATGTCAGACACCGTGCTAACAATTTTTCCTAGGGTTATCTGATTTAATGCTCTAAAGGAATCCTGGGAGACAGGTAGTATTATACTCATTTCACAAATAAACAAAGGTTATAGATGCTAATTAACTTGCCCAAGGTCATACGGTTTAAGAAGTGGTGCAAGGGGGATTGAAACTCAGGTCTGTCTGCCTCCAAACTCCATATGCTTAAAAAGATTTGTTTATATACTGATTTCCACACAGAAAATTCTTATATGTGGCCTCTCCTACTCCAGTTCTCACTTAAATCATAATAAGATTTAATGATAGATGTGGCAAGACTGGGCTCAAGACAGAAACTGAGTTCTTAAAGATACTAAAGAAAGTAACATTTTGCATACCTGAATTTTGATACCTGAGAATACCCCACATGCTTATGGTCATAATGGGGCACTTAATTTGAATGCAATGGACAGGTCAAATTGGAAATTTGGTTTGTGATCTGCCGCAACTCCGCTAGCCAGTTGACCTTAACAAAGGAAATCAGTAATTTTAATTATGAATCAAAAGTGGCTTAAAGGGGCAGATCAAGCACGTTCTCTCAGCTGGAGAAATTTTCCACTTAGATTTTGCATTTAATATTATCATCCTCATTAGATTGCCACTAATGAAGACCAACTAGACATTCATCATCATCATCATCACATTATTATACATTATTATTATTAATGAAGAGCAAGCTGGACATTTATTCACTCAAGAAATAGTTACGGAGCCGTACTGTTGGCCAGGTGCTATTGTAGGTTCTGGAGATTCAGCAGCAACCATGACAAACCAGATTATTGCTTTGGCAGAACTTGTGGTCTAAAAGAAAAGAGTGACTCATTATAAAACAGGCGAATAGAGAAAATATACAAGGATTAAAATGGGGTGATGTGAAGGAATGTGGCAGGTGGATTAATTTCAATTATATGGTCAAAGACAGCCTCTCTGGTAAGATGCTTTTTCAGCTGAGGTCTCTATGACAGAAGAAGCCAGTCATGACAAGACTAAGGGCAAAGGCTTTATAATATGTGTTGCTATCTTTTCAGGTGTTTCCGATGCATTTGGTTGAGTATCCTGGGAAACAAATTTCCCATTACCCCATTATCTCTAGCCAGAACTAGTCTGGCTAAATAAATAAATAAATAAATAAATAAAGCAAGTTTTCCAGGTGATTCATCTATGAATCAAAGTTTGAGAACATTGCTCAAAAGGCTGAAAAATCTCTTTGCCTTCTTGCCATTGACTTGTACCTTGACTTGCAATTTGATTTGCATCTTTAGCACAAGTCAAATGGAGGGATTATTAAACATTCAAAATGAATTTTTTAAAAATCAGAAAATCCCAAGTATATTCATAAAGCAATAATAAGACAATCGCTTAATCTGGGCAATAAATTTTCAATCCAATTTGTCTGTAATAAAAGTATAACAGGAGGAGGCTACTTCTTCAAATATCTCACGGAATTCAGCTGCCCATCAAAATGATCTAGAAATTGTAAAGTAGTTTCTTTTATTCTCCCAAGATCATTGATTATTAATTGCACATTCACGAGTTTTGAAGAAAAATACACTATTAATTTGGCTTTGTGGGGGATCTTATAAAATTGTGAAAGAGTCAGAGAGGCTGATGAAAGGAAAAGATTAATACCCTTGTAGTGCCAAGAGGGTGACTAATGCGATTACTTCCTTATGAAGCTGTAGCTCTCAAACTATTGATTCCAATTTTAAAAACAAAGGAGATTTGAAGCTCATGCATTGACTTTGTGCCTAAGAATATTTGAAAGTTCTTTTTACAGGAATTAGAAACTTTATTCTCATAATGAGAAGAGCTTTTCCTATGTAGAATTAGATAATTATCATACTTATGAACAAATTGGCTTTAGCCACATACATATGGGCACAAGAGAGTAAAATGTTACTACACACTTTTTATTTAGTATGGAAATACTAAGCAACCAGAAGTGTAAAAACATAAGGAATTCATTCACTATTTCCATTTCTCCATATTAATAACATCATAGTAACATGAGGTTTTTTATGATATTTATTATACTTTCTTAACTTGGATTCAATGTGTCTGTACTGGTTTTTTTTTTTTTTTCTTTCTGAACACAAATATCTGTCTACACCTACCTGATAATGAGAGTGCATTTTTCAATGAACTGTAGTACCCCTAGTGTACCCCTCATTATGGTTTACTTTTAAATATTGCCGGAATCACATCTTCACTCCACTAAAATAAGTGTTTCATTTTGAATTGAGAATATATCTAGCAGTGTCTTTCAGCTCTTCCTAAGAGAAGTCACCTATCAAACTTCAATACAGACTGAAGGATTCCAGGAGCAAAATAGAGAAAACAGAAAGCAGAATTTCCCTTATAAGACTAACAGAAAGATAAAAGACCTGTTTGAATGAATAAAATTGGTATTTTTAAAATCCCTGTTACCTACAGCTGTATAACAAACCACCTGAAAACTTAAATTTAATATTGTCTCTCGCATTTCTGTGAGTTGACTGAACATTTCTGTGAGTTGTGTGGGATCTCTCAGGCAGTTGCAGTCATCCTCAGTTGGGCTGGATGGCCAAGATGGCTCACTCCCATGACTAGCAATTGATGTTGGCTGTTGGCAGGGAGTATAGGTAGAGCTTCTCCATGTGACTTGGGCTTCTCACATCATGGCAGTTGGGTTCCAAAAGCAGCTGATCCAAGAGACCGAAAATAGAAGTGAATTAGTTATCTATTGTTGTGTAACAAATTACCACAAACTTGGTGGTATAAAACAACACCATTTATTATCTCACAGTTTCTGTGGGTCAGAAGTCTGGACACAACCTACTTAACTGGGTCTTCTGCTCAGGATCTCACAGTGATGCGATCAAGGTGTCAGCCAGAACTACAGTTTCATCTGAGGCCCAAGATCCTTTTCCAAGCTCAACAGTTGTTGGTAAAATTCACTTCCTTGAAGCCGTAGAACTGATGCCAGCTTGTATCTTGAAGGCCAACAGGGAGTATACCCTAGCTCAGGGAAGGTCTGAACCATTTTTTTTTTTAAACAACAGCTTTATTCAGATATAATTCACATCCCATCCGGTTCACTCATTTAAGATGTGTAATTCAATGGTTTTTAGTATATTCTCAGAGCTGTTCAACTATCACTACAATCTAATTTTAGAATTTTGTCATCCCAAAAGAAGCTATGTGTCCATTAGCAGTTACTCTCCATTCTACCCCCACTTCCAGCCCTAGACAACTGCTAATTTATTTTTCTACTTTTGGGATATTGTGAATAATGCTCATAATTCTACATGAACACTCATAAATATTCCTATTTTTCCTTATCCTCATCAGCACTTGTTGTTTTCTGTCTTTTTTATTACAGCCATCCTAGAGAGTGTGTAGTATCTCGTAATTTTGTATGTCACTGTAGTTTTAAAAAACAACTAATGATGTTGAGCATCTTTTCATGTGCCATTTGTATATCTTCACTGAGAAAATATCTATTCAAAGTCTTTGCCCACTTTTTTAGTTGGGTTATTTATATTTTTATTATTGGGTTGTGTTTAGATATTGTGAACACAAGTTATTTACTAGGTATATGATTTGCAAAAGTTTTTTCCCATTCTTTGGATTGACTTTTTACTTTCTTGATTATGTCCTTTGAATTACAAAATATTTAAATTTTGATGAAGCATAATTTGTCTGTTTTGTTTTTTGCCACCTGTGCTTTTGAAGTTTTATCTAAGGAATTTTTGCCTAACCCAAGTTCATGAAGATTTACTGAAATATTTTATAAGAGTTTTATACCTTTAATGCTTACATTTAGGTCTATTATTCATTTGAGTTAGTTTTTGTGTATGATGTGAAGAGGAGCCCAACTTAATTCTTTTGTGTAGATATCCAGTTGTCCCAGCACCATTTGTTGGAAAAACTAAGCCCTCTTTTAAAGGGCTAACCTGATTGAGGCTGACCTAACCAGGATAACCTCCCTTTGACTAAGTCAAAGTCAAATTATTAGGGACCTAAATTACATCTACAAATCCATTCAGCTTTGCCATGCAAGGTAAAATAATCACTGGAGTGGCATCCATCATGGTCACAGGTTCCACTCATAACCAAGAGGTGGGTATAGTATAAGGCATGCACTCTAAGGCTTGAGAATTTTGGGGGGCATCTTAGAATTCTGCCTGCCACAGGAAGCTGCCAGTGTCTTAAGGCCTGGATTTAGAAACTGGCATAGCATCACTTCCACTATATTCTATTGGTCAAGCAGTCACAGAGCCCACCCAAATGCAAAGGAGGAGTCATAGGCACTACCTTTCAATGAGAGGAGAGTCTAAGAACTTGTGCCTATCTTTAATTTACCACAACCTGCTGTCATACAAAGTAGCTTTAGATAAGATTTTTTATTAAAATATTTTACTTCTAGTTTTCTTTATTCTATCTTAAGATTCTATAGAACTCTGAAAAGCAAGAAGATAACATCTTATAAAGAAAACTTTGGGACAGAATAAAATAGCTACCTAGGTTCACATACTAACATAGATATAAAAACCCAGTGCTAAACAGGAATCAAGCCTGATCCTCCATTGTTTATACTTAGTTCATGTCCAGATGAATCGCCTTGGCTGTCCCATGTAGTATATTTCCCTCTTTGTGAGCAACAGGTGGCCTATGACTGACCTTGGAAAGATGATTCCAATCTATACAGAAACAGTTTTCTCAGAATTAATGACTTCAAGAAAACTAGACTAGAGCTGAAAGAGAAGGTCTCATTCTGATTCTTAAGGAGGTATTTATAAATCCTCTTTTATTTCTGTGGCTCCCAGGATCTGAGCTAGTGCAACCAACAAGTCTATCCCTACCAACATTACCCTTCCTTCCCTGTTCCAGGTTAGATCTAATGATGTAGAATAAAAAGTTAAGTTGACTTTGAGTAATCTGTGACAATTTTTTGTTAAAGTGTCTGAGAAAAATGAGACCTATATCAACATGCACATTTCACAGGTATAAGCAGGCTGTGGTAATCAAGGCATGGCTACAAAGCTTGTCCTCATGCAAGAGGATGATCAAAGGTTTTCTTTACTTCAAATAAAATTTCTATACCACTCAGTTTCTGCAACACGTAAATAGGCCTATGGGATGTATAAGAAACATACTCTGGAAATACATGAAAACCAACTCTCTCTCTCTTTGTGATCAAAAAGAAAAATTGAAGTGGAAATTTGGAAACCTGAGGCAAGTTAGTAGAATATTACATAAAGGAATAATTAGGACATTAAAATAGATGTAGATTTTGCTTTTTTCTTTGGCAAGAAGATACAATTATATTTTTTAGCCTAGGCTGGAATGACTATAAGTGTCTTTTTCTAGTGGTCACAAGGCAAAAAGAAATAAACCTATGACTCACAAAAGATTTAGCTGGGTTCTAGAGCAGCTTATAAAATTTATCCTGATTAGTAATCTGAGCAAGTCACTCCACATTTTTGAACTTCCATCCTCATTTTTAAAGATGGTAATAATCATACCTATCCTGCCTACCTCACAGAGCTATATTATTGGAATTCAGTAAAATATATCTGCATGTCAATTAGAATGCTTTGAGCTGCTTTGAGAAAACCCAATTTATACTGCCTTGAAGAGATGGATAATTTGTTGTCACATGACTTCCAGAAGTAAGGCTAACTTCAAGGTTGACTGCTTGAGTAGCTCCATGACACGTCATCAGGAACACGTGCTCTTTTCAACCTTCTTTTCTATTGTCAACAGATTTGGCTTAATCCATGGGCTTGTTCTCCTTCACATTGTTGTAAGAAAATCTTTGCCTCTTTTGTTTATATCCAGAGAGAAAATAGAAATCTTTCACTCCAGGCCTTATACCCATTCCTGCTTCAATAACAATGATCAGCAAACCATGCTATGATTGACTTATACCTGAAAGTATCTGGCTTTGGTTCATCAGGACCCATTCCTGGAGTGGGAAAGGAGATTCTCATGAATAACAAGAGCTACATGAAGGACATGAACAAAATTGGGGTTCTAAAAAGAGGAAATATAGGGAGGAAATAGAGGCCGAGTAGGCAATCAACAGATATAGACTGGAAAATCACTTAAAAATAGAACATTTTTACAAATATACAAGAAAATGTTTTTAAATTATATTTCCTTCAAAGGCACCAGTTCATGTTTCCCTAGAACCATATTGAAATCCTCCTAAATACCTTTAGAGAAAATTTGGCTTGCTTGGTGACTATGACTTAATCTATCCTGTTTAAAGTAGATTTCTGAAGGTGGACTTTTATAAATTACGACATTGTAAATTATTACATTTTTATAAATTATGAAATCTATGATACAATCAAGAATGACCCAATGCATGGGTGTAAAACATGATGCTGAAAAAAGAACTTTTAACAGACAGATTTTCATGATATTCTAATTTAAGAAAAGTAGTTTTAAAAAACAATATGTAGGGGCCAGCCTGGTGGCATAGCAGTTGGGTTCCCATGCTTTGCTTCAGCAGCCCAGGGTTCATGGGTTCGGATCCTGGACACAGACTTACACACCGCTCATCAGGCCAAGCTGTGGTGGCAAGCCATGTACAAAAGATGGAGGAAGGGCTGGCCCCGTGGTGCAGCAATTAAGTTCTTAAGTTCTGCTTCGGTGGCCCAGGGTTCGCTGGTTCAGATGCTGGGTGTGGACCTACTCACCACTTGTCAAGCCATGCTGTGGCAGCGTCCCACATATAAAGCAGAGGAAGATGGGGGTACATGTTAGCTCAGGACCAGTCTTCCTCAGCAAAAAGAGGAGGATTGGCAGAAGATGTTAGCTCAGGGCTAATCTTACTGAAAAAAAAGAGGAAGATTGGCACAGCTCTTAGCTCAGGGACAATCTTCCTCACTAAAAACAAAACAAAGCAATATATACACAAAAGAATGGAGTTGTGCCTTTACCCTACTCTATAGACAAAAGTCAACTCAAAATTGACAAAACTCTGAATGTAATACCTAAAGTAGAAAATCCTCATGACATTTTATTATTTCTTGGGTATGACACCAAAAGCGCAAGCAACCAAAAAAAATAGATCAATTGAGCTAGATCAAAAATAAAAACTTCTGCATATTGAAGGAAACGATCAACAGAGTGAAAAGGCAACCCACAGAATGGAGGAAAATATTTGCAAAACATACATCTGATAAAGGATTAGCTGTATAGAATATATAAAGAACTCCTACAACTCAACAACAACAGCAACAACAACACAAACCTGATTAAAAATTTGGGCAAAGGACTTGAATAGATATTTCTCCAAAAAGACGATATGCAAAGGGCAAATAAGCACATGAAAAGATGTTCAACATCACTAATCATTAGGGAAATGCAAACCAAAACCGCAATCAGATACCACCTCACAACCATTGAGATGGCTACCATAAAAAAGAGAAAAAACAGAAAAGAACAAGTGTTGGCAAGGATGTGCAGCGACTGGAACCCTTGTGCACTGTTGGTGTGAGTGTAAAATGGTACAGCTGCTGTGGAAAACCGTATGGTGGTTCCTCAAACTATTACAAATTGAGTTACCATTGATCCAGCAATTCCAAATCTAGGTATGTCCAAAATAATTGAAAGCAGGGTCTCAAAAAGATATTTGTACACCAATGCTCATAGCAGCATTGCTCCCAATTGTCAAAAGGTAGAAGCAAACCAAGTGTCCATTGATGGATGAATAGATAAAGAACTTACGGTAAATACATACAATGGATTATTCAGCCTCAAAAAGGAAGGAAATTTTGACACATTTGGATGTGTGTGTTGTGACCTCACATGGATGAAACTGGAGGACATTATGCTAAGTGAAATAAGCCAGTTACAAAGAAACAAATACTGCATGATTCCACTCATAGGAGGTACCCAGAGTAGTCAAATTTATAGACACAAAAAACAGAGTGATGGTTGCCAGTGTTTCAGGGAGGGGAGAATGTGGAGTTATTGTTTGATATATAGAGAATTTCAGTCTGAGAAGATGAAAAAAGTTCTGAAGATGGATGGTGGCGATGGTTGCACAACAGTGTGAATGTACTTAAGTCTACTAACTGTACACTAAAAAGTGGTTAAGATGGTAAATTTTATATTGTGTACATTTTATCACAATTTTTTTTTAAAAAATGTACAGAAATGTCTAAATTTTGCTTTTTTACTCCTAAATTTTCTAAAGTGTATCACATATGTAACAGGAAAAACATTGATTTAATACAAATATCTAGCCTAGGTGTTATCCAGTATCTCTCTTCTTCTCACGAGGTCCAAGAGATTGTTTGAATTCCTATTCCATATCTGGTGGAAGTTGAAAGCTTTCTCCAAGATTTCTACTAATTCTTAGTATTGGAATTTGCCTCTGGTTCTTAGTTCCTATTTCCATTGAATTATTCCATATTCAGAAATTTCTTACGCACTCTCAAGAAAGCTATTCCCCTTTACATTATATCTACTTAGACCCTCCTTAACTCCACAAAAGCAAAATGAAGCATTAAAATGCCTCATAGACACATGTGTTTAAAGAGTTAAGTGAAGATTTGAAGAGATGGGAAGTGGGGTTTGTTTATATTTACAACCCAAATAACTTCAAGTTGAATATTAGGCACCCAGCTCTTGTCATTTCAGTCTCTCCACCACGGTCCCTTTATACCTGTAACACTCCAACCTCACACCATACTAGCTCCTCTCTTGTTTTTCTCCTTTCATGTCTCTTCCACATACTCTCTCCTGCGTAGTCTCTCCTCTACCTCAAAGTTCCAAATTCTTCTCTATCATGTAAGGAATTTAGACCTCTCTAGTCCCTATCCCCAAATCTAGCTCTAAACCTCCTATGAATTAAAGGACCCTTCATACAGGTCTTCCCCTTTTTGAAAGGCAGCTGTGGTCATGATAGGCATTTCCCCCTCCTTTCCAAACAAAAGGAGAGCCCAAATGTTCTTTCCTATACACTCCCATCTTTCTCCTCACCAAACCCACCACGAGCTGGATTCACCTCCTTGAAGACAGTGGGCCATTCTTCTCTGTGACTTCCCACAGAGTGGAACAGTTCATCCGACCCTAGTCAGCATAATGCCTGGTCATACAATTTGGGAAACCCCCATTTTTGAGGGCAACATGAGGGGTCATTTACCAGGTCCTGCACACAGGTGCTGGGATCAATTGTTGGCATAAACTCACTGCAATGAATTCTACTGGAAATTGAAAGAGATTCTTCTTCCTCTTGCATCCTTGGAAGGAATTCCATGATGCTCTCTCAAACCTTGAAAATGGAGAGGAAATAAGAGAAGGAATATCTCACATTCAGCAAAACAAACCTCTATGTAAATATGTCAGATGTGTAGATTCTGTGAGGGTTTATTAGTTAATGTTTATTATGTATTTTAAAAGGAACAATAGCTTCACCTGGCGGAAACAGTGCTTTAAAAATGAACGCACAAAACGATTTGAGTTTCTGTACCAGACTGGCCTGGTTTGGCTTTTACTAACCACTTATTCTGAAGCAAGTGGACAATGTTTTAAGTAATGTCTTTTAAATTGGAGTAAATGGACAATTGTTGATGTTTCAGTACAATATTTTAAGATCCCTAGACATCTAGCAACAAACAAACAAACAAACAAAAATCATCATGTTACTCTGATAGTGTAAAGGAATCACTTGCAAAAGATTTTGAACGATTCATTCATTATTTTCTGAAATCTATTCCATCTGTTGCTCTGTCCATAAATTGAGTGACTAATCTGTTTCCATTCATTCACTGACATAACTCTCCAAAGATGTACACATAATGTTGTATTGTATGCAAGACAAGCTAAGAGGAATGTAAGGTGAGTGGCGAGTGGCAGAAATCACCAGAATGTTTAATTGAGGGGATTCTGTGACTTATTAGCATAAGAAATCAGAGAAAAAACCCAAAGGGCAAAAATAGCCAAATGAAATCCTTCTGAATGAGCTGCTGATATGAAACTGTTAAGCTATCAAACTAGAAAAGAGACAAGAGTTTAAGAAGGGAGTGGGGGGAGGAAATTATCTAAGTGTATATAACTTTTGTGTTTTGGGAGCCAGATGAATAGTAATATTTTTTCTAATGCTATTAGTAGTTAATAATCTGAAGATTATCTACTCACATTTATCAAAGTGGACTCTGATTTATGGACGTGAATATGAATATGTAAACAATATGATCGAATGTGCAAATGATTGAGCTAGGTGCCAGGAAGCCAGGTTCTAAGGTGAGGGCTGTCACTAGCTTGCTAGGAGACTTCTGGTCGTAGTCACTTAGTCACATACCTCCATTCTTTCTTGTGTTCATTCAATAAGTATTTCTTCAAATGCTTATTACTGTGCGCTAACAAAAAACAATAACTCTGGATTGCAAGAATTATTTAGAAATGGCCAGTGGCCTCAAACAGCCTCCAACCTGGAGGAAAAGAAAAATAATAGGGAATTTTGTCGCTTGCCTTTAGTTTTAGGGTAGCACTGTCTACCAGGTATTGTAGCAAAGAGGAAATCATATTCTTGCACCACCTCTCTCACTGTTGAAGGAAATATAAGTGGGCCTGTTCAACGCAAGCATTTTGGTCATGATGCCCATAACACCATTGAAGATGAAGTTTTGGTGAAACTGTAAAGGCCCATCCAGCCTGCCCAGGTGGAAAGAGCAGAACCTCCAGATTCATCCTCGGGCTGCTGTGTCTCATAGGTACCACAGCTATAACACGAGAACCATGAATTTTCAAGAACCCTCAAAAATGTTTGCGCCCTGAAAATGGCAAAAAGCAAAAAAAGAAAGTTGCAAAATCAAAAATTATAATTGTTTAAGTTCTAAAATCACAAAGTTATTTCAATGTTTCAATTGCAACTCAACAGATGTGGTAATATGAAATTAAGTTTGAAATGGGCTGTTTATTTTAATACATTTGAAAGAATGTGGACTGGAGCAACCAAAAGTAAGACTACTCAGGATTCACAATGGGTCTTTGAATAGTCCCTGTAGAGATGGGCCTGGGTTCAAATTCTGGCTCAGTCACATACTGGTTAGGGACTTGAGAAACTGTCCTAAATGTCTTAAGCTTTAGTTTAGTATTCTATAACATGGGGATAATAATACCCAACTTAAAGTATTATAATGAGTAACAAATAATTTATTACATGAAAATTGCCTAGCATAATGCCTGACACACATTAATTTTTCAATAGCTGTTATTTTTATCTCCCTCCATATATACTAGGCACTGCTGTTGACATATTTCTGAATGTGTATTTGTGGGTAATGATGTTTGGAATCAGTCACCAAATAATAACTTTAGCACACAATTGATCTGGTCATGCTAATATCTACCTCATTCCATACATGTCTGATTGTCGCTATCCTCCCAGACATTAGGCCCTGAAGAAATTGTTAGGAAAATAGTGATACAGCTAGAGATGTCTTGACTTCCCAAGGTGGGGCTATTGTGACACTAAGAAAAGAGCTTGCCCTGCTGCTTGGTGTTTGCTCCAGAGACACTTTATGGTCTCTTCAGAGAATTTCCCATCCAGCTTCTCCCATTCATTCCTTTTCTTTCTTTTCCTGAACTTCTGTGAAAAAAGAACAGATTTTACTTTTGAAAAAAACCATCCATCTTAATTAGTGATATGCTTGATTGTATGATTTCTTTTTAAAATTACGAAGCCTTGAGTAGTTTTCAGAGAGTTTATTTTTATTTTATATTTGGTAGCTACAGTCCTGAAAAAAAGCTCATCTCCAGAGAGAGATGAAAATTTGCGCGAGGAACAGATGAGTGAAATTTTCACAACTCAGCCTGCATTTCTCTTCCTTCCCCAAAGTTCATCATTTTTGTTTTGAACATTGCTTTCTTGCCTATATACCCCAAAGGCATTCTTCTCCTATTCTTTCTTAAAAACTTTATGTGTTTTCTTGTGCATGATATCTTTATTAACCATTCATCTGGTTAGGAAATCACATTGATTTTATTGATGTTAGTATAGTATGTAATCAATAAAAATGTTATTAAAGAAAATGAATTCCCTTCCAAACTCACCCACCTCATCCCTGTTCATTGAAAGTATGACTTAACTGCACTTTGAGCTTTGCATGATCTATGAGACCTTCACTCTCACTGAACCAGCTCAAGGGCAGGAATAGTGATTTCTCTGACTTCTCCACTTCACTCTGACACATCACATTAAGTCATTTATGGAGACGAAAGATTTTGTCTCTTTCAGAACAAGCTGTAGTCATAAAAATTGTTTATTCATGGAAATATTGTAAAAAGAGTGTACATTTTCAATTGAAGTCTATGAAGAATTCAAACTATTAGCTCATGTCAGTGGATGTCTGTTCCTAGGTGTACCCTTCGTGAGTTAAGAAAACCACTAGGTCCTAGTTGTAAGAGACTCCTTTTGTAGTGAAGGATATTCAAGTTTAGGAGAGTTTAGTGACTTTCACAAGGTGGTCACAGATTTGATGCAGAAGTCGAAATAGAATGCAGGTCTTCTAGGATTCTAATCCAGTCCCCTTTCCTCCACACCAAAATGTCCTTGCATTATGAGGTTCATAGTGTTTTTAAAGAAGTCCTTGGTGGTTTCTGAGGAAGAAGAGAAAGCTCTTATCTGAGAATCAACGAGTTAACAATTATATTTCTCTGGCCCTGACCAATCCATCAAGGGCCTAAGTTGTCTGCCTTTTGCCTTCTTGAAGTTTTGCTTTTTTAATTTTTAAACTAAGAGCAACACAGGAGTCAGATACTGTATGGTACTGCTGTGCTCCTGAGTGGAAAGTGTACTTTTTCATATACTCAGATTAATTCCACAGTGGTCCTTTTAGAAAAATATACTGTAGTTTTTAATCCATTCCCAGTTTGTGAATTATTTAGCTGGATAAAAAACTATTATTCTATTTTGTATCAATATGAAGTCATAGAATGGAAATCCAGAAAAAGTAAAGCATAGATAGCTGCATTTGCTCAGCACTTGATAGAGTCCAATTTATAAAGTCTTTTTCACAAGCATTATTTTATTTGATAGAATCAAACCAAGTGTGAAAAGCATAAAAGCAGAAATCATTGTCGCCATTTTGTATGTCAGAAACTGAGGCTCAATGAAGTTCTATAACTTGGCCAAGGTTACTCAAGAAGAAATTAAACTATTTTAATTTTGTAAACCATTGGTAAAAAATAGGAATATTCATTTCCATATACATATATTTCTTTATTTATAAATTATACATACATGATACTCTGTTAATATGTTGAATATGTTAGAAAATCTACTCCCCAAATGGGAATTTTAATGGATGAAATAAAGACAAAATAATATTTCTTTAAGTTACATATTTTTTATCACTGAAATAAAAGTTTGTCCTCACACACACAAAAATAGTGTTGATATTTTTAATGAGGAAAATGTAAGTTCATATGGTTTATTATTTTCAAAAATTTTGGTGTAGTATTTGTGATTTAGCAATTTGAAATTCTAGCTCAAGTTCATTTTATTTTCGTACTTGGTATTATGGCTGGAAAAAAATGGAAAACTCACTCAACATTAATATGTAGACATAAATAGAAGAAGTGCACTGTTGATCATACTGATTGAATTGTGCAAATCATTTTCAAGTCCCACCACAAGTTATGCCAAGTTTTATGTTAAAATTCTGTTAAAAATTTTCCTCTTGTCTGATCTCAGCTAATTATTCTTACAAACTAAGCAGAAGATATTAAGATACTACTATTTCATATTATTAATAAATGTGTTCAGACTTCCAGTTTCATCTCTGCATGTTGCTTGGAAGTCGTCACTGTCATCTTTTCAACAGAATAAAATTGAACAAATTAAAAATCAATGACTTTTCTTGTATCTATGAGAGAACTGAGGTAACAGGGCAAAACATGACTCTGAAATCTCACAGCTGAGATCTCTTTGGAGCAGAGACCACTGGAGACATGAACAAGTAGAAACACTTAAGTGTTAAACACTTAAGTGATCACTTTGACAAATTGCTGGGGCTAAGTATGGTCTACCTTGAGAGTGAGAAACCCTTCATGGCTACAATTTTTTTGTGGGAGCCCCTCACTTTTATATCTAGAAACTCCAACAATTCCTCATGATGAAGAGCCAAGAAAGATCCTTTCATGTCTCTGGCAGGGACAACCATTGTGAAATACACCTGAGCATTCTTCATAACAAAGGCCTACTCTCCAAAGAGAAGTAAAACTTTACCAGAGCCTTATTCTGTCTGGAGAAAGGACACTTCTCCACTATAACCCCCTCTAGCCTTCCTGTCTCATGTAAGAGGGTAACAAAAGCCAAAAAATATTTGTGAAGGTCAAAGCCTAGGGACTCAGGCCCACTAAAAGACTGAGATTTAGTCATAAAATTATAGAAGACTTCCCCTTCCCCACCTTACCACC